ATGTTAGTGTCAAGAAACTAACAGCCTTAGCCAGCTCCCATGAAAATTAATGGAAAAACTCCCACTTTTTTATAGAGTGCTGATCTAGAACTGCAATGGGCAGGTTCTTCATGGTCAAGACCCATGTTTATTCCTAGCCAGGTGTTTTACAGCCAGATGGGTGCGGCTGTGACTGCAGATCACTGCACCTGACCCAGTAAATCCTGCTTGTTTTGAAAGCAAGGTCCATCCCTGGGCCACAAGTGAAGTCATCCTTTGGAACAGCACAATCCAAAGTTGTGAAGCTCCTAAAAATGATGTCATTTCTGGATTAGCCACTTGGCTACCCTGTGTATATTTTGCATTTTCACCTTTCTTGTCATATCAGAGCAAACATTCTTTACTGCTTATGTTATGTAGTACCCATACAGAGTGAGAAAAATATCTGAGTTAGCATTATAAAATCAACCGTAATAGTGACTCCAAGGTTGCTTTTTTAGTTGAAGATTATTTGTTGTTTTATTATTTTTTCACTTTTGGTGGACAGCAAAACTGTTTCCTATACTTTGTTTCTTTCTTTCAGCTTGAGTGCATTTGGTGTGCTATGAGAAATATTTGTCTTTTTATTCTTTTTGAATGTGTTCTGTTTTCACCAGTGCTAGGTACTGGGTTTGGTATTTATGTCATGTAGCAGAAAATACCTATTACAGAAATGCAAAGGCAGCCTGACAGCAGGCTTCTCTTTGGGCACGCTGACATCATCCTCCTCTCTGAGCTCTAATTCGACTTTCGACACAATGCCTAAACCCGCACAGCCTCTGGGCACAAAGGATGAACACGAGAGTACACTTGTGCATTCTGCTGCCCTGTAAGCAAATTGCCTTGTTAACGAGGAATCAGTCAGATAATGGGCTCGACAGTCTGTGCTTAGATTAGGTAAGGTACAGTGCAAAAGTGGTTTTTACTGTATCATGGGCAGCAGCACATCCCGTTCAAAGTTCAGGGCTGTGAAAGCCATCGACTAATTCTTCAACATCGCTCACCAAAAAAGGCAAGATGCAGCTCGTTCGTATCTAGTAACTACTCTTTGGGAAAAATGAGGAAGCCAGCATTTTGTAACTTCACCGACGGGCCAAACCAGGGCAGCAAAGTGCATATATACCTCATACACGATAACTCCTGCTTTCAGCTGCCTGTCAGTATTTACAGGGAGCGTGCTGGAAGGAGGAGAATGCCACTGCTCTCATGGGATAGATAAGGAAAAGAAGCTCTGTGGGATACATATCCAGGCAGTGTTTGTGGAGTGAAGTTGCTTCCCCTGCTCATGATAACAAATCAGTGCAGGCACGCAGAGAAGCCCTGCAAACGCTGTTTTGTGCTATCTTGTTCACGTAGTCACACATGTAATGAATTGTGTCTAAACTCTCCCCCAGTAAGTAGCAAGCTGGCCAGCAGCCTTTTTATTTCTGAATCCTCCAACCCTCTGTCCGAGCTCTGCATTTCAGCAGCTGGAATTTAATGGAAGAGAGGAGGGAAAAGGCATCCCATCCATATTTCTGTAGTTTTCCTTTCCAAGCTAAATAGCTTGGATCAGAGAAGAGGGTACACAACTGAATCACTCAATCTGTTCTTTCAACCGGTGGGGTCGGGAGGTTAAAAGATTTCTACAAATAAACAATACAAAATGCAGGTATTAGTTTGTGTGACAGGAAGGCTGTAATTCTGCTCTGTTCTGTGCCACACAACTACTAAAATATGGAAGTTTTATCTGACCTTCTCTTATAAAACTAGTACATTCTCTTCTTATTGTTATGTCTCATCTGGTACTTTATTCAAACTTAGGCCAAAGAATTCCACCACTTGAGATATCCCATAAACAAAAAACATGGTGAAGAAGCTCATAAGAAACACATCACAAAACCCTGCTTCTTGGCCTTCTAAAATCTTGCTTGCCTTGCTCTGACAGGGCAAAAAGCACATGGAACCTGCTTGACCAGCTTCCTCACTGTGGCACGATCCTCAAGGCAGTCAACATTTTCCACAGGCAGCTCTTTGTCACCCTCAGCACGTTTTCTGCAGAGATGAACACATCTGGGCGAAGTGACGGGACTCCCATCTCTGTGGTCCATCCGTCAGCCGGTGCTGCCCTACCTGCTGGGCGTGAGAGAGCTGCTCTGCAGTACGCCCGCAGCCTGTCTTGTCCCCGAACTCCTCCATTCTGACAGAAGGGTGGTTCAGTGGTGGCACACACGGTGAATCAGCTTCAGGGCTGTTATAACCTGTAGTAGTTGGTGACAGCCCGCAAGACACGGGCATGTCAGGCCAGAGACAGCTGGCTGGCAGCAGCCCTGGCTGTACTCGCTCTTCCCCTGACTTCACGTGGACAGCAGGAAGTAGTTTCCTAAACTCTGTGGCTGTAGGGAACTTCTTATTTCATAGAAGTACCCGTATAATCACAAGACTTCAATTCCACAGTGACAGGACAGGAGAAGGATCTAATCTTACCTGTTTAGGGTAACTCATTTTCAATAGACAAAGAGAAAACTCTAGCCATTCTCTGTCTTTTCAAAAGTGGTCAGGTTCTTGATCATAGTAGACCTCACAGATTCACTGCTGCTTGTGCTGTCCTTTGAATGAGAAATATGCTGCTCTCAAGACGTGAATCTAAGCAGAACTCTGCTTGGATAAACTAATCTTGGTAAAATCCACTGTGCTGCTGTGTTTAACAGGGCCCGGAGCTAGCTATTAATTCTCTTTTTTATTTTGTTCTCTTTCAATAGACTCTTTAGAATACAGCATGCTGACAAAATAGGAATGGGGCTCCCCAGGAGATTCTAGTTAGGGCTGTATTCTTCCTTTTGCCAGCAACCCAAACCACACAATCCTTACAGCAACCAGCACAAAGCGCATCGGGTTAAATCCCTCATTTCTTTAGCATAATACGAAGGCTCTCCTTCTCTCATATTACCATTCTGGTCAGTCAGGTATGTGAGGTTTTTCTAGGCAACAGGTGTTTTTTGAAATAAAATACAACCTTCCCTTCAGCTCATTATGTGAAAGCGACAGCAGCTGCAAGTATAATGCTGAGGACACATGGTCTTTAAGATACCCAGAAGAAAAATACTCCTTGTTCCACTTGTTAAGGTAAAGCACAGATGTTGCTTCAGTGATAAGCATGAGCATAAGGCAACCACAGTCTGCTTCACGTTGTAAATTCAGAATCTAAGATTTCAAAATATTTAGCAGGCTGCAATCAGAATCACTGCTTTATTTATGTAAGGGTAAATTGGTTTTGTTTAATCTCATAGTCCTAAAAAATAATCCTTATTACCGTTTGCAATTACACCATCATCGGCAATATGCTAGAGACTATCCGCAGACTTGGCAGATAAATTATTAATAATCTTTTATGTGGACACAGTTATGGCTATCAGACGGTGACAAACGCATAGATTAATACATTTACTGATGGAAACATTTACAGATCGTGTATATTAAAAAGGTTTTAGTTGTGGAGAATACTGAATGCAATCTTTTTTCCTGCTTAGTGTTGGTAAGCTAAGGCTGTTTCTGTATCTCTCAGATCTAGACTGTTGAGAAATCAGTTGCAAAATAATGCTGTCTGATGGATGTAATGACCAAAGCTAGAACCAGTCCTTTCAGGGAGAAATTCCCAGCCCAGTTAGGTTGATAATTCCCCCTCCTCCGGTTTTTAATTTCTCCCTGATTTCTTTTAAGAACAAAATACATTTGTTGTAGCTTATAGTATAACTGCGAAAGTGAAAGAGCTTTTCCAAATACAAAGTGCAGTGTTTCCTTAAAAACACAAAAAATCCTCTAGAATTGCCTGATCTCCTTACTCCCTCCAGCTTTTTAGGCCTAACTAGGTCAGAAACTCGACCCTACCAACAAGAACATGTAACGCCACAGAGAAAACACAGTTCACAGCATAATCTCAGAGCTCTTTCTCTTGTGAGTAGGCTGGTTACTTCGGCTGTCTTGCAAAATATTTATGCTGGCCTTGCAGCATAATCCTCAATGGTTTGTAGGACTGCATGTTTTTCTGGCTACAGTGTTGTTATGTAGAGCCACAGCTGCAATGAATTGGGGAATACACACATGGAGAAAGGCCCAATGGCATAGACCTACTAAAAAAAAGTCAAAAGGCCCAATGGCATAGACCTACTAAAAAAAGTCAACAGGCCCAATGGCATACATCTACTAAAAAAAGTCAAAAGCTTCACACACCTTCAGGTGCAGCTCAACCTGACCCTGGTGCTTTTGTGTGTGGTTCTGTCTCAAAATCTATACCGGTGAGCTGTCAGTAAGACAAGTCCATCCTTTGTCATTCTGTCACCACCAGTTTTAGAGAAGACGGGCTTAAAAAATGAAATTAAACAAACAAGCTCTGATCACAAGATATTAGAAGGCTACAGAGTAATTTCATCATGAAAATGAGAGCCTTGTACTTCCTTGCTGTGACATAGGTGGTAAAAAAATGGTCACCTGAATGTCTGATATACTCAATTTTTAGTTTGCTGTATTGTTCCAAACAAAAGAGATGAGAGTAATAAAACCAATCAAAAGAACAAGATCTCTGCATTAACTGGGCTGATGATGCGCGTGCCCAGAAGATAACCACAAGAAGTGACCCCTGCTCGGACCCACCTGTGGTTTGCTACTGACGCGCTGACTTGTGTTCCTAATTGTGTTCCTGTCCTGTAACGGGCTCAGCAGCCAACAGGACCATTCAAATTGCCTGTGACTGTGTTTTTGCCTGCTCTGGTGTTCAACCTCTGGTGCTGTAGAAGGGGAGTAGTCTCTTACGAATCCACGCAGCCTTTCGCCCTTCCTGAACCAACTGTCCTCAGTGTGTTTTGCCAGGTTGTTACTACTACAAGAACTAGTAATTCAGAGTACTGCTGTTAAGATTCTTTCCTACTCAGCAATCAAGGCTGATCGCTCAGATTCCAGGACTTGTACGCTTGCGTTGTGAAAAGAAGATTTGAGTGAATACTCACATGTGTCTTCACATCACCTTCCAGAATCTTGCTGTACCTGAGAAACTCAGCAACGCTTCCATTCAGCAGCCTGTCGAAGGCTTCGACATACGGGGCTACGCCTGCAGAAGAAGAGCATTCCTTTGTATTGCGTTCCTTGAGTATAGGATGCATAGGGCGTTCCTTTGGAGCAGAGGGAGGAGAAATACCATAGAAACAGGGTAAATTGCTGTAACTTCTTTTCTGCCGTACTCACTGATGTGTGAAATCCAAGAAAAAGGATGTACAATGATTTTTCCTAACTAGAAAGGAAACAACCCTGCTCTGGATAGAACTTGGCTAGGAATGTGAAAAGAATTTACTCTGTAAAATGTAGTGGAGAGCCTCTTTTAGATTAACAGATACTAAAATAAACATTTCTCAGCCCTTCAAAAGCCTAGTGGCCTGATGAGCATGATTGTCTTAACAAAGTTCTACTGTTGTACATAAAGCCAATATTACCCCCTGAAAAGAATCTGCACTGTACTGAACAACTACCTTTACGCCACCCACTCATTCCTGAATATCTTCGTATTGTTTGGTGTCTTTTAATAGCAAGCAATTCAATTCCCAGTAAGACAGAGTCTTTAGAACAGGGCCTATTTATGCCAGGAGATGTGGCTTTGTAATCTCCTTATTTTGGTGTCTAACCTTGCAGAACTGCCACTGCATAAAGAAAGCTCAGACGAGTCTTCTAGCTGACGCATTCCACTGACTATATAGATATATGCTACACATCCTAACTGAGGAATAAAAATGCTTATTTCTATATGGTAGAGAGAGCAGTTTCCAGACAGAGTGGATAATCAGAAAACGCAGATGAGACTCAGTTTCTCATGCACCTGGCTTCTAAATAGCTTCATGCGGTATCTTTTAAGACAGCAAAAGTAATCTTTCCTTGGGCGCTTTCCAGCCCTCCCTTTACTCCCTGACAGATCCTCGTGTCTCATCTGTGCCTCCGAATCTTTGCCAGCTCCAGCAGAAGCGATGCACGTGTGAATTTATGGCATCTGTAGGATCTGAGAGACCAAGGTTACAATTCTTCCCAGATAATGAAGCCTGAAGATTGCTCTGAAAAGGTACCAGGCTTTCCCCAGTGAGTTTGCTTTAACCTTTTGGCACTCTATGACAATTGTGTCCAAATTCATAATCTTGAAAGCCCTCTTTATTCCACAAGAGTCATCTGGCTCCTTGACAGAAAAAAGAAAGGCTCTGGCAATTGGAGTTTGCAATGGCCTGTGTAAAAAAACAAAAAAAAAAGTTACTCAGCCAGGCGGGATTTCAAGGCTTCTTTTGTTCTCCTGATGTCACTCACCTTTAATTCTGAGGAATTTCTGGGCTTTCTTCCATATGAAGTGTTTGTGTGTAAACCCCTCAAATGCCCTAGTGTACAAAGGGTTTTCGTTGCGGAGATGCTTTCCAAAGCCCATTTATGCTCTTTGTCAAAATCTGTGTATGTCTCCAAGAGAATCATTGTAACCTTTTACTTCAGAGCAGAGTTTTAAATAGCCGTTCACCAAATGGCAATTGTCCTGTGCAAAACTAGAAAGCAGCTATGCTGTTTTTTACTGTTCAATCCAGCTAACTCCCAGGGGCATTTACTAGAATTTGCTGTGGGCCGTGCGGAGCAATTGAATGATTCGTTTGCAGTCCTGCTGCTGTAATGCCATTCAGGAGAACAGTAAAGGTACAGTTCTCCTCTCCTCATTATGTTGTTGTTTCTGACAAAGTATTTTTGTGGTAACAATTCTAATTACGGAATGGTCTTTTGGAGGGGTTCACGGCAAAAGAAAGCAATATGTATCTCCATTTCCCCTAGAGACTTAAAAAGGTCACATGCTGGCTGTGTCAGTTTTAAAGGAAAAAAAAAAAGTGACCTGTTCTGTAAGGCTGTCGGCTCTGCAGTTGCTGTGGAGGTTGTGAGAACCTCTGCAGAAGCACAGTGACACCGGCACACGGAGTGATGTGTGCGACACTAGATGCACATCAGTCGCCCAAAGTGAAGAACTCGTACCGTCTTTCCTAACTGTGTCAGCAAGGAACTAATTTCTGAGTCCCCGTATGAGACAGCTCCACCCAGAGACCTGGTGCAGGCTGGCAAGTGCCCCGTGGTGCTGCTCATCGCTCCTTACTGCGGTGGGTGTTTGACCATCTCACTCCAACAAGGTTTGTGAGTTGAGTTCTTCTAGGGATCTTCTGGAGTTTTGAGGTTCTGCTTCGCTGGGGCAGGGGGTGATCTTTTCACCCAGCTGAGCTTTCAGGTTAGGCCACGGATGTGGCCATTTTCATGGAAGTACCTCACACGGGGATTTCATCTCACGTTCTGAAGGCAGCCGTGGTTCTGCAATACTGAGCTCTGGATTAATAGAGAGATTCACCTAAATGGATTCATTCTCAGATTGAAGCCTCTATTTAAAAAGCCCACAACCCGCAGATTTACTAGTAGTGATTCAATCATCTCCAAGGTCCCTTCCGACCTAGGCCATTCTATGATCTGTGATTCTGTGATTTATTTGTCAGTTTGTGCATGGATCAAGTTTCTCTGTGACGTCGCTACGGTTTGCTAGCTGTCTAGGTTTCCTCTGGGCCGTAGGCGTTCGATTCCCGAAGCTCTCTGTGACTGGCTAACTCACCTGCGGGAGGACACCCCGTTCTGCCCCAGAACCACGCGGCTCCCCAGCAGCTGCTCCCCAGCAGCTGCCAGCATGCAGGCCCACAGCACGCGCCACTGCGGGGAACGTCCCTCGCACGTGTTGTCGGGCAAGGGCTGGCACGCAGGGACAATAAAGCAGATGACATACACTCATTTGCTTTCTGTGGCAGTAAGGAAGCTGCCTGCAACTTTCTGCTTGTTCTGCAGCTTCCGTACAGCAACCGAGCCCATGCTGGGATGTGCTCTCCTCCAGAGAACGCAGGAAAAGGCCAAGGAGTACAGAAAGCAAACGAAATAAAGCTAATAAAGGGATACTTTATTATGGCGGGGTTCTGGGTGAAGAAACAAGCTCCGGAGAAAGAAAAGGGCACCTCTATTCAATCAGCAGTAGAACTGCCACATTTATAAGGTTATTTACCCTGTAAATTTCAGGAACAACAGAAAAATTAAGGCGTAACAAACATGATTTGATGATACAGAATCATCGAACGGTTTGGGTCAGAAGGGACCTTAAAGGCCATCTTGTTCCAACCCCCTGCCCACCAGCCCAGGTGGCTCCAAGCCCCATCCGACCTGGCCTTGGACACTTCCAGGGAGGGGCGGACTTTGGACGCACGCACGGAGGGCCTGCCCCAGCTGCTCTGGGCAGCCTGTGCCAGTTGGGCAAACTGTTCTCTGGGCAACCTGGTTTTCACAGAAAAAAAAATGCTTCTAATACCTAATCTAAATCTACTTTCAGTTTGAAACTGCTCGTCCCTGTCCTATCACTACGTGCCCTTGCACATAGACCCTCCCCAGCTTTCCTGTAGCCCCTTCAGATACTGGAAAACTGCTGTAAGTTCTCTCCAGAGCCTTCTCTTCTCCAGGCTGAACAGCCCCAACTCTCTCAGCCTGTCCTTGTAGGAGAGCTGCTCCAGCCCTCGAATCATCTTTGTGGCCTCCTCTGGACCTGCCCCAACAGGTCCACGTCCTTCTTGTGCTGGGGGCTCCAGAGCTGACTGTAGCGCTCCAGGTGGGAATACATGAAGATGGACTTTTTGGTGCATTCTCCACTTGAGAAGGAAGAGCTCAGGAGATAACAGCGTAAGGCGGTTGATGTGTGGCAGTCCTCAGTGAGCAAATGCTTAGGAACAAACTCCTATTTGATTAAGGATGTCAGACATTTAAGTGAAGTAGGTCAGAGAGCTGGCAAATAAACTCAGTGCTTATATTGGTGACTTCTTCAGGAATATTTATGCTGTAAATTCTGGAGGTGTTTCATTTCTTCTGCTAATTGGGTTCAAGCAGACATTGTCGTCTGGTGAGTTATCTACAATAATATAAACGCTAATATTGAAAGAGTGATAAATCTTGAAATATGGGCAGTACGTTTGAGAGACTAGTCAAATCTTGACTTTTCTATGCTAATTTAGAATTATGCATACAACTAAGCTAGTCCCATGACATTTCTAAATTCATTTTTTAAACTACTACTTACTTTTGATAGAGAGTTCATAACGGGTGGGATTACACTCCCTCTTAGAAGACAAACACGTGTGCTACTTGCAATTTTTTGGTAACGAAGAGATGGTACTTCAAAAAACCAGACTTACTTCCATTGACTCCGTTGATGGCATCACAATCCATTCCACCAGATCTGTGTGAATCTGAAAATAATGATTCGAGTCGAGTCACTGCTTTCTCCAGTCTCTCCATCAAACCATGAGTCTCTGCCATTCTGAAAAAAAGTATTAAGGGCAGAAACAGTGTTAGACGGCTCTGAGTAAAGCTTCATGTTACCTCATGTTACAGTTCTGTTCATCTTGTGCCTTTATCTTTTATCAGCTTTTATGGCAAAACTTGTATTTTTAAATATTGGCTTTCTGGCTTACAAGCAGTTGCAGAGAAGCAGCTGGCATACAGTAACTGCCTCTCTGTCACCAGCGACTAGAATCAGTCTGCAGCCCTGTTTTTTCACTGCAAACAGCAGATTCAAACCACTGCCAGCGTAGCCCTGGACAGGCTATATGTGAGCAATTTATAACCAATATCTATGCATGCTCCCAGTTAGAGACTGACATGACTGGAACATACATAAAAGTAACTGGTAAAAGCTCCTGCCTACAGCGATTTGCATCAGCCTTTTATATAGGCAAAACCAGAGACCCACGTAATAACTGACTGAAAGCCAGACTTTGAATGTCCATGTGGTTTTTGAAAATGTACGTTCTGAAGTTTGCCTCTGTCTTTTATGCTCTGTAGTAAGACTCAGCCTTTTTACTGAAGACTCCGTAAGCAGTCAAGAAGGCCTTCTGCTTGTTCTTCTGATACAGGTTCTCACTGCTGAATTTTTTTCTTACAGAAGTACCTGATGTGAATCAGTGTTTCCCAAGCTTTTTAAATCAAGCACTAATTAACTTTGGAAAGAAAAAAAGAATCCAGGGCCTTGCTTATGCAGTACTGCTAGAGTGCTTTTGATTTAAAATGTAATAGAAATCAGGTTGAATTTTTAACAACTCACACATTGCTTGCTTTCCCCGCAGGGTGGTTATCTGCTTTCTTACGTGTGAGGAAGCATAGACATTATTTGAATAGTGGCCAATGTCTCAGGGAAACAGTGCTATATACACCTCAGAGTGCGGAACACTTATCTAAGCAAAGACAAAGCTATGTTTGAACCCCCTGCCATTTAATCGAACAAGTTTAACGCATCCCTCACTTAAGGTCGCGAGCATTTTATTGTGCAAAGTGACATACAGTGAGGTGGGCAGTGATCGATGGCTCTGGATGCTCTGCTGAGCAGTTCCAGCTCAGCCCCACACTCAGCCACATCCCCCGCCCGGCACTGGGGTCTGCAGAAGTGGCAACGGGGCTACCCGCAGCCCCAGCTGGGACAAGCGCATAGTCAGTGGCTCCCAGGGGTGCCTACGCTGCGGCATTCTGCCACCAGACACTGACTGCTGGGTGGCTTCTAGCCGGGAAAGGTCAGGCACACCACAGAGTCACAGAGGGGTCGGGGCTGGAGGGCAACTCTGACGATCGTCTAGTCCAAGCCCCTGCCAGAGCAGGATCACCTGGAATAGATCCTACAGGAACGTGTCCAGGTGGGGTTGGAAAGTCTCCCGAGGATGGTGACTCCACAGCCTCTCTGGGCAGCCTGTGCCCGCGCTCTGTCACCCTCACAGAAAGAAGTATTTCCTTAAGTTTAGGTTGAACCTCCTGTTTTCCAGTTTGTGACCGTTATTCCATATCTGGAAACTATATATGTAATGTATTAGTTCCCAATGAACAGTACTAATAATTCTTAGGAACAAAAATAACAGTATTTGTATTTTTAAAATTGAAATGGGAGAGATTAGCTACTAACACTGTGGAAACACATGGGGAGCTCTTGTGCTGAGTCATGCTGCCTGTCAAACAAGGTGGGACCTTCAGACTTTACCCTATAAATATAATGAGGTTTGTGTTTGACCTAAAAGTGAAGCAGAAGATTTTACAGTGAGAAACCCTTGGGAGAATAATTCTCATGAGAAAGTTTTGACTGGAATTTATGAGTTTTTCCTATTTACATTAAATAAAAAAGCAAACGCACAAAAGAGGATGACATTAAACAGTGAGCATATAAACACTGTCAAAATTCAGAGAGGCTCTCTTTGCTTACACTGAAAATGCACAATATTATGTTTGAAAAATCAATGAATTTTTCAAAAAAACACCTTAACTTTTTGTAAGGTTAAAAGTATCTC